GGAAATCTAGGTAATCGGAATCTAAGTCACCGGTAATCTAACTCATTGGTCTGTAGGTAATCGACCTCTTCCCCCATTTTACTAACTCGAGAAGGGATGCTAGCCGAAGATGAGAGCTGTAGAGGCGCGCGCAGCTACCCTCACTACCCTCTGGGCCTCTCCCACTCCAAAGGTATGAACATCTCAACCAGGGGAGTCGGACAGCGAAAAACAAGAAGACACTTATCAATAAGCAAGACTTAAGTACGCCACGCGAATATTTTCTTTTTCGGAATTATTGTCGGTAATTTTATTTTGTAATTTACTGAATAATAAATAATAGATTTGCGCGCAAGGCAAATCTAAATTAAACTAAAATAATCCGAGTATTTTAAATTTATTATATATGTTATTTAATTCAACTTATTCGAATTTAAATCTACTCTCCCGCCTTAATCTATTTACTGCGAGTTGAACGCCCTATCGCGTTCCAACGGGCGAATTAAAAGAACTCAATAAATTTACTATAGCTAATTTTGGGCTATACAACACTATTATAGGAGAATTCGCTGGCCACACTCTAATACCATATACGTCAAAGCCAAAATAGGATGTCAAATCAATGGAATTATCGTCTTTTATCTATTATATTACGGTAATGTTACACATTATTAATAATTAAAAGGATCTTGTTATTGAAAATTATAATAAATATCTTACTGCTCCTATAGATTGATAAAGACATGTTTGGTTGTGATAGTTGTGATAATTGTGATATTGGATCCGAATCGGGTACACCCAACTGTGTTCCAATTAGGCAAATCTTATAGGGTTCAAATTGAACAAATCCTGCAGAAGATCTACTCAATAAAATCCCAACATACAACGTATATTTAACGCATACTTCAAAGCGTTCAATATCTCCGGCTTATCAACAGCTCAAGTGGAATTTGAGCTTAATTTTTTTGTTAAAACATCTGAAATAATTAAAAAAAGTTAATTTTCAATAGTTAACATATGTATTCGATAAAATTGGTAAAAATTACAGTTAAATAACTCACCTTCAATAGAAGTATAATATAAACCTTCAATGTCTTAAAAATTTTTGTTGTCTTGTCAACATTGGAGATCTGCGATGGAACATATCTTAGAGCTTACCTCTCGTGATATATTAGCTTGAAGAAGACTGCTCATGTTTTTTGCGAGAGTCTCTTATTTATGTGGTGCATCATCTGACGTTTCTGCAAATCACTTTAATATTAATATTTTACAATAATTTCAACAATAAGTTATAAGAGTGTATTGTTGAAATTGACACTTTAATTTTATATTGATGATTTAAAAATTGAATCAATTATATATTTCCAAAGAAATGATTTAATACAATATAGGTGTTCAGTCGCCTATGTTCAATTTTTACAATTTGTCCCAATTTTTATTACAAAAGATAATGATTTAATAATCAAAATAGATTAAATTCCATGTTTTTTTTTTTTTTTTTTTTTTTTTATGAAAAATCAGGAAGAACTTGAAATAGTGACATTTTTTTGGTTCTCAAATTTTATACATTGATTAAAACCAACCAAAAATTCAATGATAACTCATGTAAAAATCTGTTTTTAGTATAAAATTTGAATTTATTTTCAAGATAATATTCCCATTATTTAAATAACCTATATTTGATATTTAATTTCCAAAGATTATGTATAAGGGAAATCTTTAAATGGGTCCACTATATCGAAAACAAACCAATGATAAGGATATTTGTTTATATTTGTTAAAAATGCTAGCCGTAAGATGGACGGTGTGGCTTAATGTATATAGAATAAGTGAAAAGAAATTTAGTATAGACCGGATAGCTCAAATGGTAGAGTAGCCGACATGTCTTCGGAAGGTTCTGGGTTCGAATCCCAGTCCGAGCTATCTAATAATTTTTTCTCACATATTCTATACACTCACATTAAGAAGTTCCTCTCTATAATCCTTTCTCAATCCTTTCCTACCAATTATCCTGTTACGTGAATGTTGGAACGCTTCACGTAATAATTATCCGTAACTCCTATTCTTTCCCGCTTCACAGCATTATTTATATTTGTTAAAAATATTTATTACCTTACACTACTTTAAAATTTTGATTTTTGGTATAAATAAGCTGGCTATAGTCGACAGTTATCAGTTTTTATTTGACAGTGAATTTATGAGTAGTTATTATTTCGAAAAAAGTACATTCGTCATGAAAGTGTTAATCATTTTATTGCTAATCATAGCAGTCAGTTCAATGGCATTTGCTGGAAGTGTAAGTACTTATAATTTTATAACTGAGATGAATGATAAACAAACTTGAGGTTCTGTAGAATTTCAATTTTTATGAAATTCGAAAATAAAATTTTTTAGGATGATCTGAAGAGCAAAATTGCCGCTGGTGACAACAAACTAATCGTACTTGACTTCTACGCTACTTGGTGCGATACCTGCGGGATGATTGGACCAAAATTCGATGAGCTTGCAGCACTTCACAGAGATGTGACCTTCATAAAAATTGACTGCGACAAAAATGAGAGTATTGCTGATCAGTATAAAATTACCAAGCTACCAACTTTTATTTTCATCAAGAATAACAAAGAAGTCAGTACAATAATTTCAGTCTTTTTTATTATTTTTATGAAAATACATCGATTTTAATTACACCACTGATTATCTTACAGCTCACTAGGTTCAACGGTGCTAATTACGAGCAATTAAAAAGCACGATTTTAAGATACAAATAAAAAAAAACGAATCTAGTTCAGAAAAACAGCTTTGAAATATTCATGTTGATTTTTAATGAAGTTTAATTGGTAAAAAAAAAATAAAAAGAAAGAAATATATTATTATAATGAGTTATAAACAATTTATTAAAACAAATTATTTGTTATCATTGCGTAAAAGAAAAAAAAATGAAAAAAAGGAATTTTTAACTTTGGAGCAAAGATTAATATTTTAAATGTTACTGCTAATGGATAAATATAAAATAATTTTATGATAAAAAATTGTAATATAGTTTTCTTGAAAATTAATATGATACTGTAATTGAGTTAAATATAAACAAATAAATTATAGCCAAAAAAATGTATAAAAAAAATTCCATCTTTAGAAGCTCTAAAAAATTATAGATGCAATTTTTTAAAAATAATTTTCTAGAACTAGTTTATTTTTTAAGAAACATCAAAAAATTGTGAAGTTTCTGCCAATTTTAGTGTCAAAAAAATTAATAAATGATGATTATAAGTAGAAAAAAGTTTTATTAGCATGTGCTTGATACATGCGTGTACAAAAATATAAATATTTATTCAAGCTTAGAAAGAGTACAGAAGTTCTGTTTGAATATTTTTTATGGTCTTGTTGCTTCAATAAATTAGAAAATTTAAATACATCTTGTTTTACCGTAAAAATATAAAATAAAAAATTACCTTCTAGTATTAATTTACACTGTATTATTGTTTTTAACCATATTCGTTCGAATAAATATTTTTAAATTTGAAAATTGAACTGTGATATGCGCATTGATTGAGAACATGCCAGCGACACTAAAGTTGCATAAAAACGGCCTTGACAAATTAACAGCTGAAAGAGCTGATGATTAATCTCGAAATAAAATTAATAAAAAATTTTATTGGATTGAAAAAAATAAAAACGTTCCGGAGAAAATAGATGAAATAACTGAGGGAAAAAAACATTTTGAGATTGTAGACGTTTCTTACTTTGTGTAAGTATTTATTTTTCAAATTATAGTATTAAATATTATTTGGAGACGATAAGAGTCATTTATATGAAATTACAGCTTAGTCAAACTTAATTTATTAATATATTTATTTTAATTGAATATCCATTATATTGGTTAATTTTTTCAACTTATAGGTTAGTAATCAAAGCCCTAGTGCCATTCTGTATTTGAGATGAGTGAAGAAGCAGAAGTTAATCAAAATGAAAAGATCAACTACGAATGCACACTGGAAATTCAAGAAGAGAATAAGTGGACTAATTCTGATTTTTTCAGTATTCAACAGGGTTTGGATTTCAAATTCAATATTTCCGCTCGAAAAAATGAAAAATACAGATTAGACATTAAAGTAACAAAATTTTCTACTAAATCAGCGATTGCAATCATCGAATTAAAAATAGATAATATGATACCAATCAGAAAAGACGTTACTAATTGGACAGATGATGTTATATTTGAAGATTTGGTCATCCCATCGAACTGTCATGCGTGTCAATATCACTGGACTTTGGATGAGTGTAATAAGACATCAAAGGGTTATCATGTATATAAAATACCAATAACTTGTTCAATAGTTTGGCATGCATTTAACGATGGCACATTGTGCGCAAAGCTATACAAAAATATGGAAGCTTATTTCGAAAATTCAGAATTCAGCGATGTGAAAATCCGAGCAAAAAATAATGAAGAATTTTCAGCTCATAAAATTATTTTATCTTCCAACAGTTCAGTATTCCAACAAATGTTAACAACAGATATGAAAGAAAAGAAAGAAAACTGTATTAATCTTCCTGAACTCGATGCTGATATTATTAAGGAGTTACTTTTCTTTTTATATCACGGAAAATTAGACAAGGCTGGCGACAACAGTGCTACTTTATTGGAGTTGGTAAAAGTTGCTGATATGTACTGCATATCTGAATTAAAACGTATCTGTGACTTATCACTGAGTAACAATTTATCACTTGATAATGTTATGTCATTATTTGAAGTATCCAAAGCTTATAAATTAGTTATTTTGAAAGAACGAGCTTTGATTTACATCGCCAATAATGTGAATTCATTACGTTCACAGGAAATGTAAATTATTGTTTTATTTGCCAGATAAAGTTTTTTTTTTTAATTTTTCTATTTAAAACTAGTTTTTTTTTTTATCAATTTCACAAGTTTTGATTTTCACTTTTTAATATAAGGTTATAAGGAAATCGAAATATAATTATTATTTATGTATGAACAAAAAATGTATCAATCTTCTTTATATTTAATTTTTAATTATAAAAATACATAATTAATGTTACACAAAAAATTTCGTGTGAGACTATGCTTAATTTTTCAATCTGTACACTTGATAAAAAATAAATATTTTATGACTCAATTTTCGCGTTGATACTATTAATTGAATATTTTTTTCAAAGGAAATAGATCTAAGTTTAATTTTTAAAATTACAGGCTTGTATCTTCAAAAAAATCGTTACCCTGAACGGTGAAATTATCAATACAATTAATTTTGTTTTGAAAACAGCAGTACCGCTGAGTTAGTAAGCAGCACGTTCAAGTGCGTTTCATTTTAATTAAACAGTAACTGGTGGATCTGGTTAAAAAGAAAAAAATTCTCAATATACCAAATTGACGTCAAATCTTACAGTGGTCTCCGATGTGATAAAACAAACTTTCAAGGCCATTTTTATCCCACTTAATTTTTACCCCCACTTTTTTTATCATCACTTCATAATTTTTTTCATTCAGCTCATACCATTCATTTCAGTTTATTGCTATTCAGTACTTTATCTCTGGTAGAAGTTGTATACATGATAATATAAGATTCTTTAGTTGCGCTAGGAATGATTCATTGAAATTAAAGTTAACACAAAATGTAATTTTGATCAAAATTTAGAGGCAGATTTTCTTAATTATAACGATTAAGTGTGCAATTGATTTTTTAATATTGATCCATTAATATACGAATAAACTCTATGTACAATTGAATCAAAAGTCAATGCTAACAACTATTGTAAACAAGATTTACTATGCGTGACATTAATTTATCCCTGTTCGTGTTGCTTTTGTATTATTGGAAATGAGTATTTTTGGACATTTGAATAAATGGATATGGAAATTTCTAAAAATGGACATTTGATTTTTTTAAAATAATAACAAAAGTACTTAAGTAAAATTAGACATTAATAAAAAAGGAAATAATTATAAATGTACTGGCCAACTTAAAAAAATGAAATCCCTATTTTTGAAAATATCTCCAAATGGAAATAAATGTATTTGGTAAAGAGTTCAAATTATGGAGACTATACACAGGAGACCGAAGTCTTATATGGCCTAAGCAACTCAAATCCGTGACAGTCTCCGTGTATAGTCTCCATAGTTCAAATGAACAAATGGATTAATGATGAAAAAATGGACATTTAAATTTTAGGAAAAGTGAATAAATGGACATTTGTATAAATGCCCATCAATAAAAATGAACTCTGTAAAAATGAACATTTAAATAAATGAACTTCGATAAAAAAATACTTACTTAAATTGAAATTAGTAAAAATGGACATTCATAAAAATGTAAATTAGTAAAAATGGACATTCATAAAAATGTAAATTAGTAAAAATGGACATTCATAAAAATGTAAATTAGTAAAAATGGACATTCATTAAAATGAAAATTAGTAAAAATGGACATTCATAAAAATGGACATTTCTAAAAATGGATAAATGATTTAAAAATTACAAATAATTATGAAGTTGATAAATTATAAAATTAGGGTTTTTGGTGTGCGTAAAAGAAAAAAGATATATTTATTTTCAATACGGTTGTTAATTTCATTTCTTTGGTTAATAAAAATTAATTTATAATTTTTAAAACACCACGGTTTTCAATTTAATCTCTTTGGTAAATAAAAATTAATTTATTTTTTATTTTAATACGGGTTTTTAATTTAAATTTCTTTGTTTAATAAAGATTATCTATTTAATAAATTTTTAATCCCAATACGGTTAATAGTTTTAAACTCTTTGCTTGATAAAATTTATTTATTCGGTATAATTTTTAATTCAGAACGATCTAATAATTTAATTGCTTTGTTTAATAAGATTATATTTCTTTTATTATATCCGGTTTCATTTCAACAGGTTATATTACGGTTTATTCTGACGAATAGGGCGATATTTAAATTATTAGTTGTTCATTAACGTTATTTAAAATTTTTATTAATAAATCTCGAAACGCAATAGGAAAATAAATTTAAGACGTAGTTAATAAACAAATCCAAGACGCAGTAGATAAATAAATCTGAGAGGCAATAGAAGAATAATAATATCCACCCGACGGATAATTAAAAATAGTCAATTCCTCATAAGTCGTAGTTTTCTACAGAAAACGAGAACACTATTCCCTCACCCGTTATCTCGTGATAGAGTCAGTACGCGGTTTCGTAACACCGATATTTGGATAATTTATGGTTAATTAAGATAGTCGTGAGACGCAGTAGCCTAGTGCGATAACCTCCCGAGAAAAAATATTTATATATATTTATATATAAATTGGTTATATATGATTATATATGAAAAATGGCCAAATATAATTATATATAACTATATATAATCCATATATAGTTATGTATAATTATATATGATTATATATAATCTTGCTTGGCTGTACATTGCTCTATATATAGTCATATATAATTATATATGATTATAAATAACCTCATATACAATTTCATATATAATCATGTATGATTATATATAATCTTGCATGGCTGTGTATAGCTCCATATATAGTTATGTATAATTATATATGATTATATATAACCTCATACACAATTCCATTTATAATCATGTATGATTATATATAATCTTGCATGGCTGTGTATAGCTCCATTTATAGTTATGTATAATTATATATGATTATATATAACCTCATACACAATTCCATTTATAATCATGTATGATTATATATAATCTTGCATGGCTGTGTATAGCTCCATTTATAGTTATGTATAATTATATATGATTATATATAACCTCATACACAATTCCATTTATAATCATGTATGATTATATATAATCTTGCATGGCTGTGTATAGCTCCATTTATAGTTATGTATAATTATATATGATTATATATAACCTCATACACAATTCCATTTATAATCATGTATGATTATATATAATCTTGCATGGCTGTGTATAGCTCCATTTATAGTTATGTATAATTATATATGATTATATATAACCTCATACACAATTCCATTTATAATCATGTATGATTATATATAATCTTGCATGGCTGTGTATAGCTCCATTTATAGTTATGTATAATTATATATGATTATATATGACTTCATATACAATTCCATATATAATCATGTATGATTATATATAACTATATATAATTATATATAATCTTGCTTGGCTGTATATTGCTCTATATATAGTCATATATAATTATATATGATTATATATAACCTCTTATACAATTCCATATATAATCATGTATGATTATATATAATTATATATAATTATATATGATTATATATAATTCTATATAATTATATATGTGATTCCATATATAATCATATATGATTATATACAATTATAATTATAATAATAATAATTATATATGATTATATAGAAACATTTTTTCTCGGGCTAGTTAAGGAATATACAGCAGAAAAATAAAATAATACATCATCTTTATTATTAAAAAGAGTAGGTCCGGGTCATTACAATTTGGGAGAGAAGGACATCAGTTGTAAGGGAGGAAGGGCTGAGGTTATAAAAGACTCTGCAGCCAGAAGATCGGTTTCAGTAACTTCATTAACGCTAACATATTCTATAATTCATCTATTACTTCGTTCTTCTCTTATTTTATATCAGTAAAAGAGTATCACGAGTTATACAACTCCCATAAAAATTGCATTTAATCAATTCACTTTAATCGTATCAGTCAAAACCAACCAGTCAATTGATTCATCTGTGTAATTCAATACGATTTTATTATTCAATAAATTCTGAATAAGATAAAAAAAGGTAATATTAGCAAATCATTTCTTTTATTTTTAAACCTAAAAAGTAAAATTAATAACTAAATATCCAACGTTTCTAAATATTAACAAATCTCATCAAAGCAGACTCATCCAGGTAGATCAATCCAGGAAATTTTTCGTCATCATTGTATTCAACGATCGACAGATATAATTCATTCGTATTTATTTATCCAATTTTTTTTTTACTCATTCATTTATACATTATCTCCCGTTGTTTATTCGTGTGGGATCTGACCCCAGTAGTGACCTCAGTCCGTCCAATCCCCCAATAGATTTATATTTAATAAATTTAATTACTGACAAATTGCGTAAAGTCGTGCAATCTTGACATACGATTATCTATAGGTGCGGTTCCCGCTTTCCGAGACGTATAATCTTAAGTGATTAGTCTCAAATTTAAGGAAATGTTGTCAAAGTTACGTGTGTTTAACATCTGGACATAACAGAATACCTCCTTTGAACTTTGAAAAATGTTAAAAAATTTTAACGAAAAATAAATTTTCTATGTTTTGTTGAAACTTTTTTTCCATTTATAGGATAGAGATTGTACAGTGACAAAAAATTTTATTAGATTGAAAAAAATAAAAACGTCCTGGAGAAAATAGATAAAATTACCTGGGAAAAAATTAACATTTGAAGATTGTATTTATTTTTTAAATAATATCACGGAGAAAAAAAACATAGAGATTTTTCCTATTTTTGCATAGGAAAAATTCCTATGTAACATAGGAATTTTTCCAATGTTAACATAGGAATTTTTCCAATGTTAACATAGGAATTTTTCCAATGGTAACATGGGAATTTTTTTTTATTAACATTATAAAAATATGAAAGGTCTCGATAAGTGCAATACCAGAATGAGCTTTTATCGTTAAAAATATCATTAGTGGACAAATACAACGTCATTTCTTAATTATTGACATTTTTCGAAATATAAATTCATCCTGATGTTACTCTTGAAAGAAGTTTTATTAATTATTATTAAATCAAACCATCATATGTGTTTATTTTTCATTATTTGAACATTCACAATTTTCAGGATTTTTGTAATTTTAAAAATTTTTAAATGCCTACAATCCTAAACTAGTCGACCAATTTTGCCCATCTTTGAACTCATTTGAGGTAATTGTACATAAATTTTAGTGATAAATGAATTTTTCATATGTCACATGGATATTTCTATTATTAATAAAAAAAAATTCCCATGTTACCATTGGAAAAATTCCTATGTTAACATTGGGAAAATTCCTATGTCAACATTGGAAAAATTCCTATGTTAGCATTGGAAAAATTCCTATGTTAACATTGGAAAAATCCCAATGTCAACATAGGAATTTTTCCTATGCAAAAATAAGAAAAATCCCTATGTTTTTTTCTCCGTGATAGTATTAAATATTATTTAGAGACGATAAAAGTCATTCATCATATGAAAATATAGTTAGTCATGATTTATTTATACATCATTTAGTACCAGTTTTTCAACCCGGGGTTTTTATTTTACCCGAGTTTATAACTATAGCAACAATACGATTCAAATGTTTATTTAACATGTTGCTATCGTTACAAACTCTGGTTAAATAAAAACCCCTGATTTAAAAACTAGCCCTCAATCGAATATCCATTATATTATTTAATTTTTTCAACTTACAGGTTAGAAATTAAGGCCCTAATACCATTCTGTATAAAAGATGAATGAAGAAGCATTAAAGATGAGTGAAGAAGCAGTTACTCTAAATGAAAAGATCAACTACGAATGCACACTGAAAATTCAAGAAATAAATAAATAAATAAATAGATTAATTCTGATTTTTTTAGTGTTCAACAGGGTTTGGATTTCAAATTCAATATTTCCGCTCGAAAAAATGCAACATCCAGATTAGACATTAAAGTAACGAAATTTTCTACTAAATCAGCGATTGCAATCATCGAATTAACAATAGATGATATGATGCCAATCAAAAAAGACGTTACTAATTGGACAGATGATGTTATATTTTAAGATTTGTTGATTCCATCGAACTGTCATGCATGCATAGATTCACGTTGTTTTTTCGGTTAAAAGCAGGTACACGGATTTGGATAGCTGTAGTAAGGAATCAACGGCTCGTCATAAATATAAAAAAATACCAATAACTTGTTCAATAGCTTGGCATGCATTTTCCGATGACACATTGGGCGCAAAGTTATACAAAAATATGGAAGCTTATTTCAAAAATTCAGAATTCTGCGACGTGAAAATCCGAGCAAAAAATAATGAAGAATTTCCAGCTCATAAAATTATTTTAGCTTCCAACAGTTCTGTATTCAAACAAATGTTAACAATAGATATGAAAGAAAAAAAAGAAAACTGTATTAATCTTCTGGAATTCGATGCTGATGTTGTTAAAGAGTTACTTTACTTTTTATATCACGAAAAATTGGATAAGGCTGGTGATAACACTGCTATTTTATTGGAATTAGTAAAAGTTGCTGATATGTACTGCATATCTGAGTTAAAGCGTGTCTGTGAGTTATTGCTGAGTTACAATTTATCACTTGATAATGTTATCTCATTATTGGAATTATCCAAAGCTTATAAATTACTTATTTTGAAACAACGAGCTTTGATTTACATCGCCAATAATGTGAATTCATTATGTTCACAAGAAATTTAAATTATTGTTTTATTCTCTAGCACATAAAGTTTTTTTTTTTTTATTTTTCTACTGAAGGAAGTTCGAGCGTATTTAATGAGTCAAAATAACGTTAAAATTTTTTTTTAATTTTAGTCTTCCCAATATTCGTCAAAATTCTTCATTTTAATTTAAAATAATTTAAACAATTTAATAATTGATGATTTTTACTTATTTAATAAAGTAAAGTAATAAAATGACTTCGGTATTTATTACTTGCTGGAATAAATAAACAGATTTGACAATAGCGCGTTTGATTATAACCATTACAGAGACGTGGATAAGTGTGTGAGTTAAACATTTCTCTTTCTGGGACGGGGACTGATCTCTCCCTCTGATCTGAAATTAAAAAATATGACTGATTTTTAATTAGTATAAGTATAGTTATCGTCGGTACTAGAATGAAAAAAAAACTTGCTGGAATAAATAAACAGATTTGACAATAGCGCGTTTGATTATAACCATTACAGAGACGTGGATAAGTGTGTGAGTTAAACATTTCTCTTTCTGGGACGGGGACTGATCTCTCCCTCTGATCTGAAATTAAAAAATATGACTGGTACCGACGATAACTATATATAGTTATATATAATAATAGTTATATAGTTATATATAATAATAGTTATATAGTTATATACCACCGGGTCCCCTTAAATATAAATTAAATTTAAAAATTTTTTTCTACAATTTGGCAAATTACAACACTTTAAATTTCGCGCGTAAAAAAATCTCGGCAGTCAATAACTGGAAGCTTCTCAAAAAATCCGCAACCACGCTACCGTTTGCTTCTCGTCTTCTCTGAGATTGTGTTTCCAATAATAACAAAATAGACGCAATCGTGTTAGCATATTAACCCGAAGTCCTGAACAAAATCAACGTACACAACAATATTAATACTTTAAAATACAAAAAAAAAAAAAATTCATTAAATTTATCACAGGGTAAGTCGTTAATTTCTTACTCAACAGACTCCTCTTAGAACTTTGTTGTAAACTAATTACATACACACATAAATATTAGGACATATTTGTATATGTAATTATTTGCTGTAGATTCGGCGTCGATTTAGGTACATTGAAATAAATAAAATCGTGAATAATAATTAATTATAAATATTAAAATTTAATTTTTTACTCACGTTTCCTCAAACAATTTTATAAATTCAGTTTGTTTCTATTCCCGACAAGTCGTTGACTTTGTCACATTATTTTACATTTGTATTAAAAACGTGATCAGTGGAAATGCATTTCGATGGTTTTCTGACGCAACCTCGTATCTCAAAAATGACGATTTTGGAGACGAGGTGAAAAATAGCTTATAAAAAATTAATATTCATCTAAAAACAATATCTATCAATTGTATTTTATAAAAATACTATCGTACTTATTATTAATCTGGTTGATATTTTTTTTCAGTAACGCGTTTATAATTAATTATTAATTTTTCAGTTGAACCTTTTCATCTTTCAAAAATCGAGATACGTGGTTGCGTCAGAAAACCATCGATTTGTTATTTGTTATATATAAATATAGTACACATGTAAATTGTAAGTAATATAATTGGTAAGTAAAGTGGCAACTACCCGAAAGTTTTAAATTGTGATCTGTTTAAAAGTTATATCTATTATGTTCATTTTGAGTTTTTTAATCTTTGTGATCAAGGTGGTATATATTCATAAATATATATTCATACATGTATATATGAAATTATTAATTCTTCATTTTTATTAAATTTACATTTAATAAAAAACAATGTTTATTATTAATTTTATTTATTTGTAGCTATTGTTGGTGCGAAATTATTTTTTTATAAAATTATTTTAGTATTAAAATTAAACATCTGACTACTTTTTTTTTTGATAGGTAAATTATTACAAAAAAAATTTTTTTTTTATTCTATTCAATTTAAAAATTTTTTATTTTTGTTTATAAATTGTTAAAAAAAATCAAAAAATTTTCAGATGTTTAATATTCATTAAAAATTTTTTGATAATTCAAATTTTCATTTTTTTAGATTGAGGTTAATTTATTGTCTATGCGTAACAGATTGTTATATTACATCAAGTTTGGTGGAAAAATTTTAGTATGAAGAAATTTATTTTTGTCAAGTTTTTAAATTTTAATTTATGCGAAATTAGTAGGCATTGACAATTTTTTTTGTTTTCAACAAACAAATTATTATAAAAAAATTTAATAATTGTTCAGTTTCTTAGTCTGGATTATTTCCACCCATTAAAATGATTCTCAGAATTTTTTTTGAACAATCATATCTTCTTTCTAATGAAAAAAAATTTTTTTTTTAAATTTGAATTTTTAATGTCAAAAAACGAAATGATTGAAAAAATTCTATAAAATTGTGTCTAAAAATTTCTAGTTAAAAAAAGTTTAAAAAATTACAATTGTAATTTTTTTAAAATTACTAAGGTGCTAATTTATTTTTTGCATAGTAATTAAAAAATTATTTTATAATTTTCAATTAAAAATTTTCATCTTATGATTTTAAAAATTGTGATTTTTAGCGGGAAGTTAAAAATTCAAAAAATTATTAAGATCTGCTAAATCAATTTTCATTAAAAAGTAGCTAAAATTTTTTTATTATTTTAAATTTATACATAAAAAATTTTTCAAATGTCTGCTGAAAAATATTCTATAATACTTAACAGCTCATATAAAAGAAATGATTAAAAAAAAAATTGAATAGTATTTAAAAGAAAAAATTCCAATTAAAAATTTACTAATTAAATTTATCCATAATGTAAAATTCCAACCAAATCACAAATTCTTCTCTCAACTTTTTAAAATATCTCAAACTCAAACTTAAATTACTCGCCAATAAATCTTTAATCAATCTAGGGAGTTCCTTAATCCAAAACTTAGAACAAAAATAAATAATCAATCCAGCAAACTTGAAGTAATTAAATGAATTAAAACCTCGCAATTAAAACTTACAGAACAAAATAATAGCGCACTTAAACAATTAGTTACTAATAAATCCCGGTACAATAGCTCTTAAAGTTATTGTAACTATTAAATAAACTATTATTGAATTAAATCCGGTAAGTAGGACTGTGGTTTTAAAGGTTTAGATTTAATAACCCTTACATTAGTCAAGTTAATTATTACTTTATTATCTGTAACAGTAATTAAACCTTTATATATAATTTCAGAATGAATTAAGACTAATATCGTTGAAAAATTGAACATTGATCATTGAACGTGAAGAAATGCAGAATTTTGACGATCTTGATATCGAAGGACGTAATCCTTCATATTTGTCTGAAGCAGAACATGAAAAGGTAAAAAATCATCACTGAAGATTCATCGGCGACTTATAATTTAAATAAATAATTTCTCTCAAATTTTTTCAGATTTTTTTTTTCAATTAAAAAAAAACAATTATTATTTTATCTAAAGATTTATTAACTAATGTAATTACAGGATGAAAATGACCGGAAAAGGTTGATGAGATGCAGCGTAACCGCTGAAGACAACATTCTTCGTCCAGTATACTCGCAGATGGAAGAAGGCGATATATGGTGTCACACATGCAACATCCAGCTGTTTGGGGCCCACAAGCTCCAGAGCCACAATAACTCTTCTAGACACAAGCTCAAGTTTGAAGAATGGCCGTACCCTGTGTCCCTGTGGTCAGACAAGGACACTATTAAGAAACTGCAGGGCCCTCTGAGCGGAACAATTGGAATTCCAAACTCTCTAGCTCCTGGAGAACCAGTTCCTCCAGGCATGGAAGACCAGATCACTCGGACAACCACCATCCAAATGAGCCTGGACCGCCATCAAAGTTCACCGCTCGTTGGTCTTGAATATCTGCTAGAGTTGGTTGATAACGACTCGTGCGAACCCAGTTACACATGTGTATTGTGCGACAAACGCGGCGATCCTCGAACAGTTATGGCCCATATTACGAGCTATAATCACCGTATTTCTTATTTGAATCGTCACTTTCCAACCATATCACGTGCGATCGGGGATTTACCACGGACGCTTAATTATAAGCGTGGCGCTAACGAAATGTCAGTGTTGGTGGCTAAAAAAATAGAAGAGAAGTTTGGAAGATTGCAACCACAGCTTGTTGATAAGGCGCAATTTGAAAAAAACCGAGTTCAGTTTATTAAAAATGTCTTTGATGAGTATCATTTTAGGTAGGTATTCATCTTATTCTTTTTAAATTTGTTTTTCATATTTTTTGTTGATTTTTAAGAAATTATGATATCATTATTACTAGACATTTTTAAGAATTTTTTTATTTGAGAATTAGCAATAATTAATTTGGAAAAAAATATACCCTGAAATTTTTTATCATTATTATTAAGTATTAAATGATTTTTCTTGATAAAATTTTTTTTTAAATTATTAATTTGTTTTGAATCTTAGTCTATTTAATTATACATTTTTTTTATTATTGTAATGTGATAATTGTAATTGAAAAAAATTATTTTATAATAATTTTTTAATTATTGCTTTAAATTTTTTGATCAAAATTATGATTTCATTATTTTTTAATTTCTCACAAGTTCCATAACGATTGAAAATTTTACTAATGATCAAAAAATGATTTAATTCAAAGAAAATTTTAGATAAACAGTAAAATTTTTTAATAATTTCTTTGGGTTCATTTTTTCCAAATTAACGTACACAAAATTAAAATTAGATAATTAATATAATTTAAAGAATAATTAATTATTAAAATGAAACTAATAATGATGGTAAAATTAAAACTAAAAATCAATTCCCTACAGCAAGTGGAAGTTATTTTGATAAAAATGATCTAAACATATATTTTAAGATATTGTTGTTTTTTGATGTATATAAATTAAAAGTGGCTGTTTCCTACGTGCGCAGGGAAACGCCTGAGTTAACATTTATGGAAGTTTATGATGTGCGATGGGTGACAAACTTTGAAGAGAAACTGGCTGAAATGACTGCCGATAAGAAAGGTGAGTGTGTTTATTTATTTACTTTTTCGCAAACTTTTTTTTTCATTGCTAAATGAAAAATTTCGATAAATCTCTAATGAAGATTTAAAACTTTTGGTAATAATTAACTATGGATCTTCCTTAGTAATAATTACTATTTTTCTGTACTGTTATGAGTTAACAAGTCATTGACTAATACTCTATGATTTTATTACAAAAAAGATGTGTCAAAAGAAGTGGATAAAAAGGAAAAGTCAAATAAAGAAGATAAAATAATGGAAAAAGCATTCCCTACAAAAATAGAACCCGATACTTCTAGATCGTAAGTAAAAATTTTACTATTGTTAATAACATAAATTAACACACAACCTTACACTTGACACAAAAAAAAAAAAAAGAAACTAACAGATGATTCTTCTTAAATACCAAAAAAAAATTCTAAAGCTCATTTCGAAAATTGGTTTTTTTTTTAGATCTATGAAAATCCGTATAGTAACAAAAGAAAAGCTGATGAAGAAGCCGTCCAAAGACAATGTTCGACCCTCTGACGACACAAAGTCCCTATCATCCTTATCAAGTATTTCCAGTAGTCCATCTCCATCGCGGTCGCGTTCACGCTCGCCGGGGAACCCGCGTTTCGACGCGTCAAATCACTCAAAAAGCTCTTCCTCGAAGCACCGTTCTTACTCCTCAAAATCGCGACACCACACCCGGGGATCGCGTTCCCGATCGCATTCTATAGAGCCCCATCGTGAGCGCGACAAGTGGGAAAAATATCGCGGATTGATCCGTCGCACGGAAGAAAACCTAAACCGCGCATTGGCATTTCACGAAAAGAACCCAGAGAAGCATCCGTCTTACCCGGATGAATGGAAGAAGTTCTGGAACCGGCGGTACAAAGAACTCCAGGCAGAAGGTAAAGATCCATCGAAGCACGACTTCAAGCCCGAGTGGATTGAGTTTTGGAACAAGCGAATGCGGGAGCTGCATAATGAGCAGCTTTCTTCCCGCAAAGAAGACATTCGCAAGCAGCTGGATCTGCCTGAGGACAAACCTCCGGAGCAACCGATCAAGTGGAGTTCCAGCACCAAGAGGAATAGCAAAGAAGATCGACTGCCGTCTCCTCCTCCTCCGGTGGCCAAAAAGACCCGGTTGCTGGATAGCGATGATGATGATGTTGAGTACGTTGGTACCAAGACTATTAAACCAGAACCCAAGGTTAGGACCGCTGGAGAGTACCGGGAACAACGGGAACGCGAACGTGAGCGAGATCGCCATCATGAGCATGCTCGCGAAATGGTCCGCGAACGCGATTACTCTTACTTGTATGCACGTGATAAACCACCCTACCGACCTTATTACCAAGCGACTCCCAGACCAGTGATTCACCCCAGAGTGCGGCATTATGCTCCCTATCCATTCAAAGAAAAGTCCGCGAGTCCGCCGGCCCAGAACTTGGAAGCTTTAAAGGAAGATCTGGAGATCATTGGGCTCCTGAGATTGCTATCAGCTATTGAGCAGCAGTTGGGTTCCATGGGACCGAAAGTGGTCGAACTGCTGAAACGAGCTCTTGCTCTGGAGAAAGCAAAGCCCAATTCCGCGGAAGAGTTACTGCTTGATGAGGAAGTAAGTGTTTTCTTCGAAGCTGTGAAAGAAAAACTAAAGGGCCAGTTGTTCGCGGGGATGATTGAAAAGAAAGCGATTCCTGCTACCAAGTCCGCTGTGCAGAATATTGCCCAACTGCTCCACAAAGCGGAGGAAGACAAGAAAAAGAAAGAGGAAGAGGAAGAGAAACGCAAGAAACAGACTGAAGAAATAGCACGTTCCTTGGCTTCTTTCTCGCGGTCTGCTTTTCTTACACGCAGTTCTGATGTTAGCTCGATGATGAAGTCCGAGCCTGTTAGTGTTCCGGGTGTAGGTGCTGTTAATAAGGTTGCCATTGCTCAGCAGATTGCTGCTGCGTTGGTGGCTCAAGGGAGGATCAATGTCTCCCAAGATGAATTAGAGACTCTGATAAACGCAGTCGTTGGAATGGCTGAAGCTTCGCAGCACAGCGACAAGCCGATCACTGCTGCTAGCTTTGTAAAAAGTTTGACTGCTACTGAAGCCCCAGCAGCTCCAGCTCTCACTCCAACTCCAGTAACTCCAGCAGCTCCAGTAGCTCCAGCGCCAGCTCCAGCTCCAGCTCCAGCTCCAGTTGAGGAGAAGAAACCAGAATTAGCTTCGGTGGAAACTGTTGAAACTCACGCTGCTAGGATGGAAAATCTCACGGACAATGACCTTAAAGACCTTCTGCAGAACTTTAATGATCTAGGAACTGATAAGCAGCACGGGTTAATAAATTTCTTGAAAAAGTTAGAAGCCAGTGATCCTGCTAGAGTTGAAAAGCTTCGTGGGTATGTAAATTTAGGCAGCTCTGGAGGCTCCGTTCGCGATGACTCTCCAAGGGATGATGAGCCTATTAGTAAAGGACGCAGTCCTTCACCATTTGCTTCCCGCAAAGGCGCTCACAATCCCTCAGATGATGACCACTTTAAGTGGAAACCGAAGATAGACATGTTTTCTGATGATGAAGAGGATCGCAGACGTAAAGACGATGAGAGATCCAAAAAAATTGACCTCTCTGATGACGACGATGATTATACTTTCGAAGACATTTACAAGGCAGCTGACAAAAATGTCCTGGAAAGCGAAAAAGCTAAAAGACACTCTGACTCTGTAGCACGTTCCTGGTCCCGATCTAGGTCCCGGTCCCCGTTGTCGCGCAAGGAAAAGTCTAACGATACTATCCTCAGTGAAACCAAGCGGCTGATAGACAATATTATGGGTGGGCTTCCTAATAAGTATGTAGTCAAGTCCCACATGCAGAGAGAACGCTCCCCAGTTAATTCTGACATCCTGCCCCCCGGGTCTACTAATGTAACCATTCCACCGCAGAACTACCCACCGTTCAACCCACCCAATCAGTCTCTCCCTCCGGTGCACCAACCTGCTCAACTCCACCAACCTAGCCACCAGGTTAACTACAACCTACCCAACCAGCAGAACCCCTACCCTCAAAATTACTCCCAGCAGAACTATCCTAACTCGGCCTACATGACCAACAACGTCCAGCCGATGTCAAACATGAACAACGGATACAACCAGCCGTACAACCAACCCTACTCTGGGAATAATATGGCTCCTAACCAAAACCAGTACGGGCCTCCGCAGAACCAGTACCCCCAGTCTCAGCCCCAGTCCCAACAGATGTACGGCGGCCCTCCGATCCAGTACGGCTCGGGACCTTCCGCTCCTGGACCGATTGGCTACCCTCAGCCAAACACTAATCAGTATGGAAATTACAATAGATTCTATTAATTATTAAATCTTAATTTGGTTATATTAATATCATTTTACTCTTCGGCTTGTAAATTAAGTATTATAGATTTTGCTATCTACTGTGTACTCGATACTTCAGTAAGCAAGCGATTCAATAAAGTTTTGAGAAAGATTTAAAATAAAATTGACCGAGTTTAGTGTTATGATAATAGATTTATTTATTTATTTTTAGTTTAAGGCCATTCTCAGAGGGTAGCCTTCTCTTTGTAAAAATATTTTTCGCCGCCTAGCGGTCAATAAAAGTACTATAAAAACCCTTGATTTTTCAAAATTTTAAATGAAATTTAAGATGGTATAAATGGTATATTTAAATAATATTATAGTTTCAAAATAATTAAAAAAAATAAATATTTATTTTAAAATAGTTTTTAATAAAAAAAAATGGTAAAATGTGCTGTAAAAAAATAGTATTCTAATCGTGTTCGGAATGTCATTGACATAGAATATTTTAATAAATAATAAATTAATAATCAGGCCATTAGATAAAAAAAAGTAAACGTAGTTATAATTTTAATAACCTATAGAATATATAAAAAATTACTTACCGTTTCAAATAAATCGTAGTCAATCGTAATCTCATGAAAGGTGAATATTTTTTATTTTATATAATTATCGATAATTTCATGTTTAATTAACTTAAATATCATCGTACATTAACTAAAAAATTTTTTTTTCTATTTGATGGCCAAAATATTTGTTTTTATTTCTTTATTTGCCTATTCTGATATGATTGAAAAAAATTTTTATCGCCGGATAAGGTGAAAGACCCAGTTATTGACACTTTCAATTTTATTTTAATTAATTAAAAAAACATCCAACTCCAATAAATTAATACATAGAATTTGTGAATTATAAACTTTTAAATAATTGGTTTTTTAAGAACATTTTATTTTTTTAATTGGAATAAAATTGCAAGTGTCAAACAACTAGGCCAGTGTCAGAAACTAGGTCTTTTACTAAATAAAACGTAATCAGTAATCGGCTTCCGTTTTTTTAGTTATATTTTTTTGATTTTACAGATTTAGTAGCCTACAGCCTGATAGATACTATAAGTCAAGATGAGTGAAGAATTCGCGCAATCATTTAAAAAAATGTCCTTCACAAAAGAACTAGAAATTAATGTGAAAAATAAATGGGTTTCTTCTGAAAATCTCAAAATGGATTTCTGTCCAGAATTTGTCTTTAACATTTCGGTTCTACGAAATACTATGACGATACATTTCACGTTAAAGTTACCAAATTTTCCAGTAAACCAGCGACTGCATTCATTGAATTAAAAATTGAATCTAAAATAAGAAGAAAATACATTACTAATTGGACAGACGATGTTATCTTTAAAAGTTTTTCAATTGCGGTTGACAATGATGTGTGTTGTGAAGATGATGATGCTTACTACAATGAATATCGTAAACGATCATCAAAAACATTTTATAAAAACAGAATAATGATAACTTGTGAGACAATTTGGTATGGTTTTAATGATGACTTATTGAGTGCCAGAATAAATAAAAATATGGAAACTTATTTGAAAAATGTCGAATTTAGTGACGTAAAAATTCGAGTGAAAAACAATGAAGAATTTCCGGCTCATAAAGTCGTTTTAGCTTCCAACAGTTCTGTATTTAAGAACATGTTAACAACAGACATGAAAGAATCGAAGGAAAATTGTATCAATTTTCCAGAATTAGATTCTGATACTGTTAACAAATTGCTTCACTTCTTATATCATGGTAAATTGGATAAAGCTAGTGATAACAGCGCTATTTTATTGGAATTAGTAAAAGCTGCTGATATGTATTTGATATCTGACTTAAAACGTGTCTGTGACGCATTTTTGAGTAGACTTTTATCATCTGAGAATGTTTTCTTACTATTGGAAATATCCAGGACTATTAATTTACCAATTGTACGCCAACAATCTTTGATTTTTATCGCCAATCATGTGGATGTATTATTCGAGGAAGAAATGTAGATTATTTTGATCTATCTATGATTATTCAAAATTTATTTTTATATTCAAAACTATTTAATTTTTTTTTTACTTTGATTTTTAAAACTTCGTTAATTTTTATAACAATACAATGATTTATGATGGTAAATAATTTTTGCTTGTTAATAATAATAATAAGTATAATAATAAATATAATATAAGTATTTTTGTTCATGATCAAGATTAATTATTGAAAAAAATGTAGTAATAAAAGTAAAATTTAATAACTCGCGGTTTAATCAATTTGTGAGTAGTATTTATTTTTGTTATAAATCTTTTTTAGAGAAAATAGTGGAAAATTGAATTTTGTTTGCCATAAATTTTCAAAATTCTGTTTCTTTATTACAGTATGTAATGTTCACGTCATCTATTAGCTTCCTCGAGAACTTTCTAACTGTGATGCAGAGAGCTTCTCTCTGAGTGATGGTAACGATTCCACCTACTAAAGATTCAAAACATTAAGACAGAATTTTCTTCCTGATCAATCTATACAAAAGTAATTTACTATATTAATTTGTTATCAAGTTTTTATCATCTATGGTTTTTTTTGTTCATTTTGAAATTGTTATTGAATTTTATTTATCTTCATCCTTGAATTTATTTCAATTAAAAATTTACTTTATTTATCTCTTTCATATATTTGTACATATTACATTAATTTATAACATTTTTCTTTTCCTTAGATTGGCTTTCAAGTTGTGATATTTATTTGATGATGATTATTAATTATGTGAAGTAGTATCCGGGAACTATAAAACCAAAATATTCTAGTCATCCGCAAATTTAAAAAAATGTTTAAGTTATTTTTCAGGATATTTTTAACTGATTAGTTGGAGGATTTTATATTTATATATTTTTTATCAATCAATTCAAAAATTTTACAATAATTATGTTGTAATTTTACAAAACACTTTATATCAATTAGTTTAAAAATTTTACAAATACTGATACAGTCTTATTATAAATTATTTTCGATCTACAAGTGTAATAATTTCATAAAATGGTATAGTAATTTTCCAAATTTTTTTTTATCAAATAATTCAAAAAATTTACAAAAGTAATTTTAGTAATTTTATTTTTTAGAATTTTTAGAATTTTTTTTATTAAAAAATTTATTACAAAAAAATAAAAATAAATTTCATATGTAGAAAATTTAAAAAACAATATAGTCGAATTTTGTTATGAGTCCTATTTGTTTTTTCTTTTTTTTTTTCAACCAGACTGGCGTTAATATGAGAGAAACTAATAGGACTCATAATGAGACTCGACTGAACGTGAAATTTTTTAAAACTATTTTTATAGATGTTATTTAATTAATAAAAAATTTTTTTCAATATCGTTAAATATCTGCTAATTTTAGTATTACAAAATAATATCGTAATTTCTCAAAACATTCCATCTAAAAGTTCAAAAATTGTACAAATAATATCGTAATTTTACAAAATAATTTTTATTTATTGTTTCAAAAGCTCCAGAACATTAATTAACATAATAATCTTACAAAATACATTCAACCTATTAAAGGGAAGATACGTGTAGACGTTTTTATACTGATTTTCATTAATTTTTTTAAGATATAAAAAATTAATGTTATTTATTTAAACTATTAGGTTATTTTATACATATACTTACGAGTATTTTTTTATATTTTACAACAATATAACTTAAAAAGTAGCGGAGATATCAGCTAATTTCGTAGGTTGTCATCTAACTTAGCAGTTGGTGTACACGATAGAAGCCGTAATTTTTATCTGAAATCAATGGTACAGAAAAATTACTTTTTTCATATGTGTACCTCCTATATAAACCTCATTTCCAAAAAAAAAAAATTGAAAATTAAGTTAGCCGACATCTAAAAGTTTTTAGAATTTTTTTTATTGACAAAATTTATTACAAAATAATAAAAAAACGTTTTCACTTGTAAAAAAATTGAAAAACTGTAAATGCAATTTATAAAAAATATTTTTTAGTTATTATTTAATACTAGCTGTTACTCGCCCGCTCCGCTGGGCGCTTTATAGAATTGCATTTTTAGATCTAGAGTTGAAATTTAATTAGAGTATTGGTTAGACTTGTACAGATTCCCATGCAATTCTATCGAATTGGCATGCACCTTTTATCCATGTAATTATTCTAGCTAATATTCATTGTGACTTTTAATGTGCAATCATTATAACATTCCCGTGTCTTTCTTACAAAAATTAATAATAATTGATATGAAAAAAAAAATTTGTAATGACCATTGAAAGTTTCAGTTAAAGTTTCAGTTAAATAAAAAATTTATTTTAAACAAATGACAATCGAATAGAAGAAATTTAGTTACAATAAAAATTCATTATTTGTAAGTCAAAAAAATTAGAAAAACGGTTCACCCTAAAGGCCATCCCTGCAACTTCCCGCTCATTTTGTACTTAAACGCTTCAAACTACACATTACGTTTTTGGGCTCTTCGAGCTCAAAAATATTGTTTTTGTGTCAATTTGAGCTCTTCGAGCTCAAAACTCTAATAGCAGTTGAGACACGATTTTTTGAATTTTCAAACGGCAATAACTTTAGAATGAATGAACCGATTTTCACGCGGATGGCGGCAATCGATGTAGTTTTTTGAGCTCTATAAAAAAGTAGCTGTTTTGAGATTTTGGGCTCTTCGAGCTCAAAAGTCTTATCAAAATTTGATAAAACACAATTTTTTTAATTTTCAAACTGCTATAACTTTTGAATGAATGAACCGATTTCCACGCGGTTGGCGGCAATCGACGCAATTTTTGAAGCTCCATGAAAAATTTTCAAATTTAAATCGATCAACCGATTCTAACGTTTTTGGTAATGATCGATGGGGGTTTTCAAGGTTAAGAGCTAA